TGGGGGTGACAGCAGAGTCCCTGGGGCTGTCCAGCCTGGCAGTGCTGGGAGCTGCTGCCCCACAGAGACCAACACACTCAGAAACCATAGCCCACTGTTTTTGTTTGTACTAGTAATCACTTAACCATCTTTCATTTTCCTTATTGAGTTTAACTGTGTTGATTTTGGATGCTCTTCCTACTTCTGAAGCTCTTTTCTCCCTGTTTTCTGCCTGTTTCACTGTTGCCCTAGCCCTCTTCTCCAGCAGGCCTGCAGTCCCTCCCAGCTGGATCAGCCCTTAATTTTATAACCAGACTCTCTAGCTCATCCTCTACTGTTTGTAAACTGTGGGAATTTTCCCTATATTAAATAAATCCAGGGGAATGTAAACAAACACTGAGCACTGGAAGGAGAGAAATCAGGAGCTTTAGAAATCCAATTAGCTCTCAAACCTTGGCACGCTGACTTGGCTGAGCATGTGGGGAAAAGGACTGCAGAAAGCTTGAATAAAAGACCAACACATCCCTTCAGCATTCTCTACACTCATAACAATTCTGGGCAGGGCAGATTATTGCTTCTGCAGGGAGGATGCTCCTAGCTGTGTACACACAGTGGCTGTAACTCAGCCACCAGCAATGACAGCAGCAGCAGGAGCACAGGGCAGAGCTGGAGTTCCCAGCAGACACTCAGCACCCACCCACAGCCAAGCACTGGGGAAGCCTCTGCTGACCACATCACAAATCTGAGCGAGCCCCTGCTCCCAGGAGGGCTGAGCTCCACCACACACCAGATTCATTGCAGAGCAATGCCCATCTTTGCCAAAGCTGTTTGCTGGAGAACAGATTGAGACAGGGTTTGAACTGTCAAAGCTTCCTGTTTTCCATGTTTCAGAGCTCATCTGTTATCACTTGGTGTTTTGCAATGCTTTTCCTCACCACAGCGATTTTTAAAGCATTGGACTTCTCTCTGGTGGGGAGTGCTGAGGAGCTCAGCTCTCAGTCCAGCCAGAATGGCTCCAATGGCACTGACACAGAACAGTCATCTCTGACAGGAGGGGATGTGTTTGCTTCCAACGTCACCTTAACTGTTTACATCTCAGCAGCCTCTGTAACTAAACCTGCAATTACCAATTACTAATTGTATAACTATTTCTGTTTCATGGTGTCCAAACAAGGAGGTGCTGATTCTTTTGTAACGCATAGAAAACAGCACTTGACAGCCCCAAACTCATCCACTGAGACTTCATCTCCCTAAATCCAGGGATTCACAGTACTCCTGCCCAGCTATCATCTAACTTGAGTATCAAATCCTTGATTCTGAACAGAACTGATGATTCTGTGAGTAATTTATATCCTTAATTGACATCAAACCCACAATGCATTAAAAATGAATGTTTAGTTAATAGAAAGTCGATTATCATAACAGAAAATGATTAGAAAAGAGATTAGCAGCTGGAGTTAAAAATTAAATAAGACATAAGGAGAGCATGATGTGCCGTTTTCTTGCACACAAAAGAAGTTTTCTGCCTCCTGGAAGTGGTTTGGAGGGTTTGGTCTGGTTATGGAAGGTCTAACCTCGGGGCTCAGTTCTTTCTGCCCTAAGTGGAAGTGGGAACTCTAACACATCCTCTGTGTGACACTTCTGTACAGAAGCTCTTACCCTTCCCTTCCTTTCTCCACCGATGCCGTGATGAGTTCTGAGAGGCAGCAAAGGAGCAGATCTTTGGATGGAAGAGAATCAGAGCAGGAAGGACTGTGAGAGAGCAGTGTGTGTGTCCATGTGTGCAGATGTTTCTCCTCTGCAGAAGGCTGCAGCAAGACCTCCTTCAGTGAAGACCTTTCCTTAATCAAAAGTACTATAATTAAGCCAGTTCAGAAGATTCTCCTGCTGCTCCCCCTATTTCCCAGGTCCACTGAAGTCCTTATGAGACTTCACAAAGGTTTTCAAGGACTCCCAGTGACTCCAGTGGGCTCTGAGTGTTGATGTCTCAGTGAAGCTCTGGCCAGATATCCTGCAGCATATGTGAAGGCAATTAATATGGCCAATTGTCTCCCTAATTTCATTGAGGACGCCTGAATTACTTTCTCTGCAATAAAGTACTTATTATAAAGAACAAGTCAGACCCTAAATGAAATTAGCTTTTTCTAAATAAAATACTTCTTAATTCCCTTGCTTGATATTTGCCATTGCTCGGTGTATTTTCAGCCTGAGTAGCTCTGTGAAGCCTGGTGAGCATGGTCAAAAAACAGTCCAAACTGACCAAGATGGTTGAGTTTCTGAGCTATTTTCTGGTTTCCATCTGTGCCAGACAAAGGCTTTGCAAAAATGTCCTTGGTGTCATGGTGCTATCAGAGCCCAGACTGTGGTGTTGTGTTTGGCAAACCACAGGGGCTAGGGCAGAGAAAGAAAAGTGAAAAGCAAGATACATCCCCTAGAGTGAAGCTGTTACACATAGAACCTCAGGAGACCAATCCCGAGCAGGGAAGTCACTCTGGAAATCCCATCACCAATAAATCACTGAGGAGATAATCAGATGCACATTTTTCCAGGCATGTTGAAAAGCAATTGAAATCAGCAGAGGGAAGTATTTAATCTGTTATCAGACTGAGATGGGAAAGTCGCTGGAGATTAGGGGAGGAAATATCAGTTCAGAGTGTGTCTAGTGGCTTAGCTTTATCATTTCATCAGGCACCAGAACAGCTCATGGTGTTTGCTCCTCACAGGTGAATGATGACACAAACCATGTGTGCAGCTAAGTAAAGGCTACTGTCCTTATTTGAAAATAAAGGTCAGCGTTTAGCTACAGCAATAGAAAAGTTTGGAGGGTAAGAAATTCAGGAATAAGTGTTGTGCAGCACAGATTGCACACAGCACAGCTCATTGACCTGCACTGGTTCCCATCCTCCTCTCTGAGCCTTTGCTGATTTTATTTGCCCTTGGGGAATTTCACATTTCTCAGCAAACTTCTTTATATATTCTGTCTTACTGAAAACTATACCCTAGCACTTACTCTGTCCACATTTCACCTATCTAAAAGTACTTAAGTTTGCTAAAGGAATGTCCTACAGATCTCCAGCTGTTGCACTATGAGAGGAAAACCAACTGAGCTGGACAAATTCACCACTGCATTCAACTTTCCTGCATAGGGACAACTAGAGGCTCTTGAGACACTTCATGAGGTTTAATGGACTTCAGGAGCTAAAAGTCATTTCTAGGAGCTCCAGAAAGCAATGTAAGAAGTTGATTATTACGAGCACCACAAAGTTCCTTGTTGTTGTCCATCACAGTATTGTTCTTGCTTTGTGGAGTCACAGAGCTTCTCTTTCCCCTGAAGGGCAAATATTAGCTTTTACAAAAGAAACCCTGGAAAGGTTTGCAGCCGTGCACAGGGAAGATTTTGGAGCATCTTCCTCATCTTGGCTGCAGCTATAAACTGAGATCAACGTTTCCTTAAGCTGTATAAAATTTAGTGGCTTATTCCCTAGTCTCACAGGAACTGTCACTGCATCTTTCATCGAGGCCATGTAACATTCAAAGGACACAGCTTTGGGTGCTCACAGGAATTTAGTTTATCTGTTGAGAATCTATCAAATGCATTCCAGAGTTTCTTTGGGTTGTACTTGGTACTTTTTGCAGTACCAGTCAGGACAGAGGTGGGACCTGATCTCCACCAGATGGACAGAAAAGGCATTGGCCAAACCCTACACATTGTTATCAGCAGCACAGGCAGAAGGTGACGAGGGAAGTCTCTGCAGACAGCCCATGGCTAGCACCTCATTTTCTCTAGGGAGGCAGCTCGGGCCCAGCAGGCACGCTGGGGAGGCAGTGTGTGTGTGAGCAGTGACACATTCCCCCTGGCTGGCTGGGAGCTGAGGAGCCTCCAGCCCAGCACCCTCACCCACACAGACTGTGCTCTCTGCCATGGCATGTAAGAGCTGTTTACCCAAGGGGATAGGAAGTGCTTTTTGCATAGTTTTGAGGCCCAGGCCCTGACCTCTGCATTGCTGCGAGATGGGAAATATGCCTAGAATCACATCCCTCCCCACCAAGGCATCCTGACAGCCACCACTGACTCAGCTGCTTCCACAGCCCAGCAAACCCAAACCCAGCGTGACAGGTCCCTCCTGAGTGCTGAGACATCCAGCCTGGTGTCACCTGCCTCTGGAAACCTCCTCAAACCCCCCTCAGGGTGTGACACGAGGAGTGTCTCCTCAATGCCCACCCTTGGCTCCTTGAGGCAGACACTGAGGTTTTACCCAGCTGGGTCACTGTTCACTGCCTGTTCTGCTGTAAAGATGTCACTCATTCCTTCGACAGCCTCATCTGCTAAATTTAGCTGATCAGTGCATGTTTGTAACACTGAAAGGACAGGAAATGGAATTCCCAGCAGGAGTTCCTCATTTGGGCAGCGTCTTCAGGGAAATTATTTGGTTGTGAGAGGAAGAGGAAGTATTCATAAAACAACCTCTTATTTGGGTTACTTCATTTTTATGAATGCCTGAGGTGTGGGAAGTTCCACAATGAACTTCAGGTTTCCAGAGGTTTGTAGCAGCACAATAACCTGTGTCAGTGGAGGGATGTTTAGGGGCTGCCAGGGAATGTATTGGAAGTTACAGGGAGTGTCTGGACACACACTGTCCCAGAGGTCTGGGAGCACTTGGACCTTTCACTTCAAAAATGGCACTGGAAAGAAGGCACAACCTTGTTCCATGTGTGCCCTGTGCAACAGCCTGGACACAGAGGTTTGGTCTGTCCCTGGGATCAGCAGGTGTGTACCCATGAACAAGGACAGCTTTTTATTTCCTAATCCTCCATCAATTATGTGCTCCTTCAGCTTTCAGATGATGAGAAGCATTTCCCTAGTAGCTTTAAAAGTAACATTTTAGTACCGAAAGACCAGAAATGATAGCAAGATGCAGAAAAGGTTTGTAATCCACAGATTCTAGCTGTAACATTTACCTTCCTAAAGGCAGACAAACAGCTGCTCTCAGACATTGTCTCTGCTTATTTCCCCTGGACAGGATCTCTGTTTTCGGCCCTGAAACCTCCTGAAACCATCTTCAAGGTGATTTTTTGGCTCGGCTACTTTAACAGCTGCTTGAACCCCATCATCTACCCTTGCTCGAGCAAAGAGTTCAAGAGAGCCTTTATACAGATCCTGAGGTGCCAGTGCCACCGGCGGAAGCAGCTGGGCTGGTGGCCCTACAGCTACAGAAACTGGAACCGCTGCTCCTTTGAGCACCACAGGAAAGACTCTCTGGAAGACACTGGGAGTTTCCTCAGTGGCAGCCAGAGGACTTTATCCTCAGCATCTCCCAGCCCTGGCTACATGAGCAAAATCACTCCCCCACACATGGAGATGTGCACGTTCCAGGACTGGAGGAACTCCAGCTCCCTCCTGAGCCCCTTGCAGGAGGGCAGCAGGCAGAAGGACTCCTGCCAGTTCTTCACCTTCAACCTGCTGGCAGAGCGCAACGGGCACGTGCCTGCAGGCAGCCCAGGGCCCTGCCATGGGGAGCAGGAGGCTCTGGGGGACACCTGGAACGGCAGCACAGCGGGTGCAGCCAGCAGCACACTGCACTGAGGGCTCCCAGCAGGCTGCTCACTCTGGACACTGCTCTGCTTGACACTGGGCCCAGGTGGAAGAGACCTGTGCACAGCTCCTCAGGGCAGCACCAGCAGGAGGTCAGTCAGGGACAGGCAGATTTGGGTCACAGGAGTGGCCAAGTGCAGGGACTATTCCAGCCAATCACCTGAGAAACTACTGAGGCAAAGCCAGAATGCAGGGCAGGTGCTGCATAAACCCAGGGAAGTGCACATCCTATTGTTCAGCTGGAAGTGCTGTGGAATGGCCAAACACATCTGTATATAGGCAGAGTGTCTAACCACGGATGGGCAGGGGACGTGTGTGAGGGTGTGGGTGTACAGATGTGCCAGCCATGGGATGAGTGTCTGAGAGGGGCACTGGGAGTGCAGTGGCACTGAGAACACAGCCCTGTCTGGCAGTGAGCACTGCAGCCCTGTTGTACCTCTCCAGGGTCCTGGTCGTTCTGCCTTTGCCTGTGATTCCATGTTGTTGCAGTATGCCACTGTACATTTGCACTTTAGAAATGGAAAACTCTGTCGATGATTAAAGTAATTTCTCAACGATTTAAACACTTGCACCTATTACTGCAGGCCTGGAGTTCAGCCAAGCTCCCTCACCACCGTTTCCCCTTCACAATAAAACACTCATAACCACCAAGTTTGCCACTGTGACTCCTAGGATACAGTTGGTTCCCTCATCACCAACACACACAACTCCTCTGTCCTTTCATGCTCTTCTCTGAGAGCTCCTAACCTACACTTCAGGACATAGTAGGTGTCCTGTATACAAACAAGCTCCCAGAGGATCTGATTGCCAAAAGCAACACCCATAAATCACTCCAAATGCCTCAGAAACACGTGTGGGCACAGCACTGAAGAGCAGAGGCTGCTGGAGGCCCAGCCCAGCCCCTGGACAAACACACTGAGCCTTGGTTCCCTCTGTGAAAAGAGAACACACACTCAGAGGCTTTTGCTTTGCCTCTCAGATAAGAAGAGTCAAAACACTGGAGTAGTGTGTGTCACTTCATTAAGAATTTTCAGCTCAATAATACAGTACTGAAATAGAATTCCTGAAAGCATCTTCAGGGACTTTCTAGGTCATGTTTGGAAGCTATTTTCATCTCTTGCAGTTAAGTGTGAATCATGGAACTAATGACTGATTTTTTTACATGAAGTGGTGCAAACCGTGAAAATTGGTGTTTACTCCTTTCTCCAGCTGAGCCTTTCCTTACTAGGAATTGTAGTGACTTTTTTTTTTTTTTCCAAGCTTGAAACAGGGAATGAACCACAAACAGATGTGCTAAAACCACCTGGGGACAATTTAACAGCACTAAGACCCTAGGGACAGCCATTTCCTTCATTTGTGTTTCCTTTAGTGTGCACTCCCTCACTCATTAGCCAGGGCTGGATGTGGTGTGTGGTGAGATGATGTATCCCCCCAGCCCACCAACTGGGAAGTCATGTTCCAGCATCTTCCCATGGCTCTATGCTACAGTAAGAACCACCTAAGTACATATTCAGTCCTACCCTGGTGGCAGTATGGCCAATCTCCTGCTTTTGTAATTCCATTTGGTGGGGCAGGCTGAGATTTCCTTTTAAGAAGACAATGTTTATAAAATGTGAAGGTATTACAAAGCAGTGAACAAACTCTCTTGCTCAGAGCCTGAGGCTGCCCAGAGGAGTGTCACTGCCAGCTGTGATACACCAGCAGGAAGCTGTGCCCTTTGGGGGTCCAAACAGCACACAACTGTAGCTTAGAAATCAGCATTTAAGCCCCTTAAACAATGAGATAATTCTCTACTTACCTGTGGAATCAGACAGGGGTTTGTCCCACACTGCAGTGACCCGTAAGTACTTACCATCTTTGGACATTTCTGCATGTTATGTTACAAAAAAAACAAGGAAAGTTCCCTTCCTGCCTTTTTTTTAATCAATAACAAGAGAAAACTCCAGCCACTAAAGTTCTCTTCCTGCCTTTTTTTTTTTATCAATAACAAGAGAATTCCAGCCACTTAGCACTGAGAAAACAGCTCTCTGCAAACACTGCAAGTGGCCAGGAGGAGATGTGCATGGACATCATGCTAGTCCTCACCACTTACAACATCCACTGCCTCTAGCCATGTAAATCATAGACCAAAACCCTCAGAGAGCCAAAAAGCCCAAGACACATCCTGCAGTAGCTGATATAATACATATAATACATACCTAGATATTAATATAGATACTATATTAGATATCATCTATAAAATATATGGTAATTCTATAGTATATTTTATATATGTAGACAACTTCAGATATAATTTTAACAAACTGTGTCTTGGTCTTAAAATTACATTTTACTACTACAACTTGTAGGTGTAACAAATACAAGATGGAAAGATTCCTAATTTTACTCAAAAATACATTTCTCCAAGCTCTCCCTAGCCATGCATGATTTTAGAAGACTTCCCTCTTCTTCCAAGCTCATTTTTGTCTCACAAATTCCCATTTTAGGGTCCAACACAGCCTGTTGTGCTCAGCAGCACTGTACCAGTGGGTCCCACCATGGAATACCTCCCAAAAGTCCTGTCCCATGTGCTCATAAGGTGCCATCAGCACCTGCCTCACCTCAGCCACAGCTTTGGTGGAGGTACAGGAAATAAAAGGATCAAATGGGAAACCCCCATGGATGTGAGGGAAGGACTGCAAAGGGGAAAGTCTGACATGCCACTTTAAAATATGAAACTTTGGCAAGGCCACCTGACCTCTCCAGAACAAATCTATTCTAAATGCCTTTGTCCTTACCACTGGAATCTTTTCTGGCCTCCAGCAGGCCAAGGCAGCCCAAATGAGGCCATGCAAACCACTCTCTTCCCTTTGTTCCCTGCCATTTGTCACCATGTTCTCCTTTAAAGGCAAAACTATTTGGACCAGGCATCTTTGTAACCCTGGTGGGACGAGGCCATATTAACCCAATTTCAGCAGAGCCCAAATGGGTTTGCCAGGCAGAACTTCCCTGGTGCAGCCAGTGGCCAGGGGCACACCAGGGGTCTGTCCAGCACAGCTGTGCCCCACCACCTGTATTTCTCATGCTCATTAAGAGATCTGCTGGCAAACCCAGACAGATCTGCCTCCAGAGAGCAGCTGCTGCCATTCAGCACCAAAGGTGCTCATCAAACACTGATAATTCTCCAGGTTAAGCTGCTGTGTGGAGCTGAATCACTGCCACTCAGAGAGGCACATCTGTGAGGGCTCACAGGGCTCTGTTACAGCCCAGCTGCTCAGAAATTAAACCATTAGGCTTCCATGTGCTCAGTGATCCCAAAAGTGCTGCTTGTTTTTGACAAGAGTCATGGCAAAATCAACCCAACTGAACGAGACAGAAGCTGCAGAGCACTCAGCATCCTCCACTCTTTGGTAATGCAGTTTTCTATTATGTTTCCAAATGTGACAGGGAGAGAAGAGCTATAATGCCATAAAGTGCAGCTCTGGTTTGCAAAGTGTAAACATAGCAACTTTCTGTGCAACAGATGTGCTCAGTGCTCTCAGTTTCTGTGCTTCTTTCACCTCAAATGAGCATAAAACTGCCCAGCACAGGAGTGACCACCCACAGTGAGTGTGGTATGGGATTGGTACACTGACATCCACTCATTCCTATGAGTGACCAGGAGAAAACACTAGATTTTGCTTGGACACACTCAACAACAGCTCTGCTTACCTTTTCTCCAGTCCCCTGCAGAGCTCTGGCTCACACACTCTGTAGGGCAGGACGTGGCACCACAGGATGGACGATGCATCACACAGACACCACGTTCACCCTGAAGGGGTTGGAGAGAAATACTTCAGAACACGGAGACAGCACAGACATCACGTTCACCCTGAAGGGGTCAGAGAGAAATACTTCAGAACACGGAGACACTTCGTGTGAACCAATGTTTCCACCCACTGTGCTCATTTGGGACTGGAAGGGACTCTAGTTCTTTGTGCAGAAGGTGAGTTACGATTCCCAAGAGCACTAGAGACACCTGAAGTGGTTACACAGTGGTCAGGGCACCAACCTAGGAAAATCACGTTCACCCTGAAGGGGTCAGAGAGAAATACTTCAGAACACGGAGACACTTCGTGTGAACCAATGTTTCCACCCACTGTGCTCATTTGGGACTGGAAGGGACTCTAGTTCTTTGTGCAGAAGGTGAGTTACGATTCCCAAGAGCACTAGAGACACCTGAAGTGGTTACACAGTGGTCAGGGCACCAACCTAGGAAAATTCTGCCTTAATGACTGGGTTTGTGTTTCACCTCCCTGAACAGAGGGAAGGGTCCCAAATTAGAGCCTTCTCTCTTAAACCTGTCTAAGTCAGCCCTTTGATCAACCTCAAAGCTCTTTGGCTACTAACTTGCCCATGGTGAGTAGTGAGTCACACAGCTCAGAGGCAGCCAGGCCACAGGATCCTGTTTGCCCACCCAGAGTGGGCAATGTGGAGCAGGACATGTAGGAAGAAAACGTGGAAGACAAAGGAGAGAGCTGAAAACACCAAGTGACAGGGAAAGGGATAAAGGCTGTAAATCCATATATCAGCTTTTCTGCATCCTAGTGGTCCCAGGACAACTTGTCCCATGCTTGTGTGGTTGGTAACTAAAACGTGGAGATGAGCCAAGTGTCCCAGTAGGGAACAGCAAAGCACTGTGTCAGCTCCTGTCACCACAGCAGGGACAGCTGCACCAGCACCCTCTGCTCTCCTGCCCAGGCTCCAGAGCAGAGGGCTAGGAATTCCACTGCCTGGAATCCACGACATGGCTTGTCCCTGGAACAGCCATAGTTCCATCAGTGTTGAAGCTGTAACAGTGAACCAGTGACATCCCTGTGGCACATCCTGCTTCAGCTGCTCTAGTGGTGGCAACTGGAGCTCAAATGAGGCAAATTCATCTGCATAATGAGCATCTTAGCCCTACAAAATATGTACAGAGTGATAAGGGCAAAGAAGAGTCTTAGCTATCCACTTGGATCCTTATTTTATACACTGTGGACTGGAGTCAAAGCAGTGGAAGGCTTGGAAAACTGGTGGGATGTGGCTGTTCAGAGGAGTGACAGGTGACAGGCACAGCGAGTCTGATGTTATTACTGGGAATTTCTTATAACTAATACATTAGTTTGACCAGTGAAGAACGTGTTCCCTATCCAGTAATTCCCCTAATCTTTACAGAACTGCAGCCAAGACATGGAGAAAGGATGCTCAAAACGAAAAATCCTTCAGATTCTCTGTCACGAGTACCCTAAAAAGCAGATGTAGTAAAACTGTAATTTATAGCTGAGATTAAAAACTCTTTAATTGCCTATTTCACAATTTCCTTTATAATGTTCTTTGGGAAGCACAATAATGTGATTCCACTGAGGCTTGTGTGCAAGTGTTTAATTCCACAGAACCTGAACTCTCTGTGACCTCTGGAAAAAAGGGAATCATTGTTTCTTTGCTTGATTTGTTGAGCTTTGGGTTCTTCACTGTGAAGATCCAAAAAAGCTGCTCCAAAAATAAGTTTACCCCATGATTTGGAGCCTGAGGGGAGTGTGGAACAGTTCATCCCTCTCCTGCCCAGCCGAGACCCAGTCCCGCTCTGCTGTAAGGCAGAGGAGTTCCAGCCCCGACGGGACTCACCGGATCCGTTCGCCAAGGAGAGGAACGGAACGGGAAATCCAACATCGCCATCTACTGTATTTCTGCTGCGGGGAGAAGCACAAATCAATAATCCATGAGGAGCTCGCTGCGTTTCACACCCACAAATCATAAAATCAACCAGGTTGGAAGAGACCTCCAAGACCATCGAGTCCAACCCTACCGTAGTTACTAGACCATGGCACTAAGTGCCACATCCAGTCTCAGCTTGAAAACCTCCAGGGATGGTGAATCCACCACCTCCCTGGGCAGCACATTCCAATGCCTGGTCACTCTGTAAAAAATCTCTGATATCTAAGCTAAATCTCCCCTGGCAGAGCTTGAGTCTGTGCCCTCTTGTCCTGCTGCTGTTGCCTGGGAGAAGAGACCACCCCCCACCTGACTCCAACCTCCTGTCAGGGAGTTGCAGAGGGTGAGAAGGTCTCCTCCAGGCTGAACACCTCCAGCTCCCTCACTCTCTCCTCATGGCACTTGTGCTCTTCTCTGCACCCACTCCAGCACCTCAATATCTCCAGCACCTCAATGGCTCCGAGGTGAGGCGCAGAGGGGATGCAGAGAATTCTGCCCTCCCCGACCCCCCGAGGTTATTCCCTCCCCACGTGGCACCACCCCCGGAACTACATATCCCATCACACCCCACGCGTAAACAAACCCGGAACTACAAATCCCATCACGCCCCGCGCTCGGCGTCGCCCGGAAGTGTCACCGGAAGGGGCGGGGCGAGCGTGGGGCGGAAGCGCGGCCGGAGCAGGTGGGAAGGGGATGGGACTGGGGGGATACATACTGGGAATACTGGGGCATGGCAGCCCAGGGAGAAGGAGGAGAGGGATGTGGTGGGATGGGAGGTGTGCGCGGTCTAGGCTGGGCCAGGAG